GTGTGTGTGTGTGTGTGTGTGTGTGTGTGTGTGTGTGTGTGTGCTTTTGGACCAAGCCTAAGCTGAACAGCATGGGGAACACACAGGGGCCCTGACTGGGGAGATGAGAAATTTAGACCCTTCTACCTCCAGCAGGAATTGTGGAGGAGGGCCTCACATGTGAAATGATGTCATCCCCTGTGCTCTAATTCCTTGACTTTCAAGCTGACACTGACAGACTGCATGGGGTACAACATTTGACCCATTTAGCAGTTGATTTAATCTGACAAGAATGTTTCAACTTCTAAATCTCTATTTGTCTAAATAAGTGGTTTTTAAAGGAAATCAGTCACTTTATTATTAAGTGATTTTTTTTTCCTAAAAAAAAAAAAAGAAAGAAATTGACAATGTTTGGAGCCATCTGGCCAGCTGGAGTGCCCTCTAGTGTCCATTCATAGAATGTATTTAGTATCTGGTTTGGGGGGAAAAGTAATGAAGGGTGGCCACAGGCATTGTTAGCTCTTGGTTGGATTCCCAGGCGTGTAGACATCCCTGATGCTAGCAGTGACGAGTGCCCAAGTGCTAGTGTGAAGTAAGTACAGTGCAGTGTCTGTCACTCTGCCTGCCTCCCTCTCCTCCCCCATGTCCTCTCCCCTCCCCACTGTCCCTCTCTCCCTTTGAATCTTAGAAAATGAGAAGCAAACATTAATGGGGGTATTTTTTGAGGTTGTACTTTCTATTCCTTATTTATTTTCTTACACATATAATTGAAAAGCAGCAGCTTATAAATTCTCAAATTCTATACTCTTCAGATTCTCTTTTTTGACTTTAAAAATATCTTTTAAACATATTAAGGAGAATTAATTTTCCAGTAAATTAATACTTTTTGAAAGTCAGCACTATGCTAACTATGCTAATGTGACTAGCTGTGTTGAAATTGTCAAGGAGCCTGCTGTTTGAAAACCATCAAACAAAACTAAGATGACAACCTTGATCCAGCATGTGTCTCCACAGTAACCCCTTCAGAGTTCACAGAAGATGTGCCAGTGATGGAAGTCATCAGCACGCATGTGTCCTGCCTGGCTAGTGAATACACGGACATCTTATTGATACTACTTGCATTCTTTTTGCATTAACTCATCAAAACTCAATTATCATGAAATTAAAAACAGGAAACAGTTCTCAGTGCAACAAAAGCATCCAGTGTATTTAACTCTGTGCTGTGTTTCAGGAGACCCACATTGTATAAGTGACAAAGCATTTATTACCCGGTTTATTGTGGTGTTACAGAGAGGAGAGCGCTAAATAATCAATCAGTTAATGGTCTGTATGGCAGTTTGAGCACATCACATCTATTGTGCTTATACTGGTAGAAGGATGAGCTGATAACTCCAGTGTATGTTGCATGTTTATTCAGAGCCTAATGTCCTCAACCAGAGCTGGCAAGGACCTGATAACAAATGCAGCTTCGGCATCGGCAGTTTCAAAGTTGCAAAAATATTCTAGCGACAACTTTGAGAGACTGGATGCAAATGTTCCAAGAAAGAGCTGCAGCTACCTGTTATGTTATTTCTTCTTATTTTTCCTTAAACCAGCTTTAGGTTTGAGAATTTTAAAAACCAACAAAACAAAACAAGCTCCCTAGTTTTGGCTTTACGTTTGTGAATTAAGCTCTATTACTGCTGCAGCTGCAGCTGCGTTACTATTGTCATTAGGTGTTCCTCATTCTGTACAAGGGCTGCTTCACAGTGTGCCTCTTCCATCCCATAGGCGTTACTCATTCTGAAGTGAGGCCACTTCCTCTTCAAAATACATTGCGATGGGCTTAGGGTTTTATAAAAATGAGCAGGAAGCAACTTTTGAGCGCTGTTTTGGTGAGAATGCTGTCATTACATGTTTTAGATTAAAGACAGAAAAAAAAGATGTTAAAAATCAGATCTTTTTGAAGTGATCTTCATTAGCTGGTAGTCAGACATAGAATTTTTGTGGGTTTACTATAAAATGTTCAGTGACTCAGGCCAGAGCTTTCTAGACTATTTTGATGGTCTGAGGTGATCCTTTAATTTCTGTAGCTTCAAGCTGTAACTCCTTTTTCTTTTTCCTAGGAGATAAAAGTACTGATTATGCAAATTTTTACCAGGGATTGTGGGACTGCACAGGAGCTCTTTCTGATGAGTTATCCTTTAAGCGTGGTGATGTGATTTACATTCTTAGCAAGGTAAGAAAGTAAGCACCCAAATGACACGGCCAAGGGGAAATACGCAGCTCAGTTCTTATGTATCTGAATTTCCAACAGTAGGGAAAAATGCCAATAGGAATTCTTCTAGGTCCTTGCTAACAATTGAGAGTTCACAATAATCAATTATTTTGTCAAGTGAAATATAATCAAATTTTAAACATAATCAGATAACAGGATTCAGCTTCACAGTATGTTTACCCATCACTTCAGCCTTTGGCTGGCATCCACCTATTGCCGTTTCCAGAAACAATATACTTATGTGAAAGTTAACATTGTAAGGTATTAGGTTATTTATTATGTTTTTCTTTCCTCTTCCTTTTTATTCTTCTGTGTACTTATTGTGATTCTGTCTGCCATTTACTACTGGAAACATTGTGTTTATAGAACAAGTTTTTCATCTTTATGTAAATACCTTGGGTGTTCCGACAATTTAAAACAATGCTTTTCTATTCAGACAAGTTTATGTAATTTTTTTTTAAGTTTAACACACAATATTTGTAAATATAGTGGCAAAGTATGTTGCCACAAACTCATCTTTATATGTATAAGAATCTTTGCCTCTGCTTTTTAAGTTACTGGATTATTTAGACTCTGTCAGGTCTAAAAGTCGGGTTATATTTGTAATGACATATAGGAGCACTCCTAATTTTCATTTTAAAATTTCCCCTTCTGTACTATGGGGATAAAAGAATATGTCTACTTTGTCAGTCTATTTTAGAACTAAGTAAAGGTATGGAAATGATTTAAATACAAGCAAGGAAATGTTAAAATGGTCATAAATTGCCAGGTATGGTGGCTTATGCCTTTAATCCCAGAACTCATACTCAAATGGGGCAGAAGCAAGTGGATTTTGAAATCAAGGCCACCCTGGTCTATATATTTCAGGCCAGCTGGGGCTATAGGGACATTCTGTCTTTAAAAAAAAGTAAAAGGTCATAAGACTTAATATGATTGATTAAAGAATTATATTCTGAAGATTTCAGAGGGATAATATGTCTTGTTAGATACAAAAGGAAATTTGGAAATTAGGTCACATACTGAATTTTAACATTAGATACCTGGTGCTGGAATCTTAACACAGATGATCTTAGCATCTTAGTGAAGATCAACTGTTCTTGGGTTTACAGAAAAGGGAATTTGGCTCAAGAAAGTGCAAAGCCAGTACAGTACTTCAGCTGTATGTCTTGACTCCCAAACTAGATTTTTTTCCCTTCCTTGTATTTAATTTGATGCTACAGTAAAACATCTAGAATGTACCAGAACACATTGTAGACTCCAGGAATTCTAAAGGAATAAGATATAGGCACTTGTAGGTTATTGGGGACTATTTGGGGAAGAAATATTTTATTTAGTAATAGCTGTGAATACTGCTAACTAAGATGTCTAAAACCAAGGCTTTTCACACATTTCTGTTTTTCTGCTCATTAGTATTTATATCTTAAAAAAGAATTTTTATTTATTTATTTGTGTGTGTGTGTGTGTGTGCATGCACACATGTGTACCAATGTACGCATGTGTAGGTGAGAGCACAGACTGCAGGAGTTGGTTCTCACCACTGTGGCTGAGCCACAGCCTCAGCTCTCTGCCCTCTGCTCTCTCCTCTCTCAGTCTTCCCAACTGGTCCAGGCTAGTCTTGAACTTGTCATCATCCTACCTCAGCCTCCCAAATGCTGTCACCATGCCATGTGACAACTTTTGATTAAGTCTGTCTTTACAATATAATTAATATAATATACTATAATATAATATAATGCTTTATACACTTAATTTCCCTGGGTTAAAACAGCAGCTTAGAAAGTTACTTAACAGAAATAACACTATTTAGCTCCAGTTCTTGTCAATAAATTTCCTTGAAGTCATTCCCAAATTTATTTTTAGCTCACTGTTTCTTTAACCAGTTTGGTTGCAAATATATATACAATGAAAAGGTTGATTAGCCGCCATTTGAATTTTAGATTATAGGGGTAAATGACAGAGCCATTTCCTTTTGCAAATATGAAACTTGTAAAGACACTTGGGTCTGTTCTTAAGGCCTTCATGAACCAGCTTGTCTTTGTTGCGGAAAGTGAGGGCAGAGTACCCACCTCCAGATGAACAAAGTGGCTCTAGGCTTGTCTTGATTTCACTATTAACATGAAATTAAAAGTATAATCATAGTGCGTGCTGTACTTCCAGCATGCTGAGGGTGGCAGTTCCAAGCCTGTTTTGTGGAGATTATAATTTTATTTGAAAAGCCTGTTAAAGAATGTGGGTTAGAGGCAGTCTGGCTAATGAGAAGCTCTCACTTCCACTTAAAATTTTTAAATGCTGTTATTTGGGAGAAAACTGACCAAAAATATTTTCCCTACTACCGTCACAAAGCTTGGAGCTCCACCGTCATCCACATTTCATTAGGTTCCTTCTAAGGATGGGCATTTTACCTGGGGCTAATTTTGTTTTTTGAAGGAGGAGCCAAGAAAGACACCCTTGTTAGCTGTCATCCCTCTCTACAGGCTGAATGGTTGAGCACTCAGTCATCAGCTGTGAACCTGGAGAATTAACCAGGTGGAATAGTGAGGGCGAAGAGAAAGGCTGCCCAGCTCTCCCTGCCAGGATGGACTGCACTGGTAGCCTCTGGTGGGTGTGGCTGCTGTGGAGATGAGTGCATGCTTATGAAGACTTACTTCCTGACCTTGCTTTGGGCGAGTCAGAAGGGAATCGCTGGAGAATCTTTTATATATATATTTGCCATGGTCTTACAGTTTTATCCAAACTTGGGCAAACATGGACCATAAATATGTGATGGCTGCAGTTTTGAGTGCTTGGAATTATAAATGAGAACTCAAGGTCTTTAGGAGAAGAAAGTAATGAATTGCTTAAAAGGACCTGTTTCTAGGACAATGTAGGACCAATATTACATATTTTTAAAAGGGTAAGCTAAGCAGTTGTGTGAACACACACACACAAATTAGTACAAATGTTGCTATTTTTTAAAAAAAAGCATAAGCAGTATAAAAGTCACCAGTATTTTTATATGTCTAGAAATTTTTAATCTTAAAGTGTTACCTAGATTTTTGTGAAGATGGTATGAAATTTTACCATTAATTTATTTTTTTACACCATCTAGTGGCTCAAAATGAGTGGTGCAGGTAATTGCAGCTAATGTGCACAATTAAAATGGTGTCATTAATTCAACTTTAAGTCTAGCTATGGGTTATTACTTTCCCATCTCATGTCAATAAAGTATTACCATTAATCATGAAAAATTTTGTTCATCATTTTGAATGAAGTGTGGAATTGTATACACAGGAAGAATACATTGTAAGGAATCTAGCATAATATTTATGAAGACGTGGAAAATGTGTACTTTATAACAAAGTCGATGCCCTGACTTTTCTAATAAGTAAGAACATTTAAAAGGTTTTTTAAAAACGAAGCTTATTCTTAGAAATTAACTGATTTTTAATTGAAATATTATCACTGGTTTACTGCCTACAAGTTTGTGAATTTTAGATATGCTTTTCTTAAAAAAGCAACACAAAATTGTTTAAGATGCATTCTTATTATGTAAATATTTAAATCAGGAAATAAAATGGCATGAGTGTTTTACTTCTGTAAATAAATGTAATAGTAGAGAAACCTTTCACTAATTTGGTGATTAGACTGTTTTCAATAAAACGCACCATAGAAATATAGTTTTATTTTAAAATGTCTTTCTTTCATTCTTTCCTTTTTTTTCCTTTCTGTTTTGCAAGGAAGCCTAGATGGGATGTCAGCTGTGCTTAGTCAGCCCCAGGGTGATTTATTTATTTTAAGCCTCTTTGGAGAGTTATACAAATCTTAGCCCTAGCTTCCCCCCCACTGAAAATCAAATGCTGCCATAAAGAAAGAAGAGCAGGCAGACACCCTGCCCTTCCCCCTTCCTTCCCTTTAACATTTTCCAATTAGCAGCTGTCATGTGACCCTTAGCTGAGCTAGCCCCTCCCTCAGAGTGTCCCGCATTTTCTTAGTTTTAACCTTTGAACCTCACTAATAATAAATCTAAACTCTGCTTGCCTAAAAGGGAGCCAGTAACTTTTTGCTTTATAGTTTTCTTCATAAAACATTGCTGTTGTTGTTTTATGTGTTAAAATAAACAATTCAGTAGTTCAGTATAGACTTAGAAATCTTTTTTTTCTCCTTAAAAAAAAAAAGATGAACATATCAGGAAGCATAATTTGTTATTTTAATGATAGCTGTTTTGTTGGTGAATTAACTCTGAAACACAGGGCATGATTTCAGATTCTTTTAATAAGAGAACAAGTCCCATTAGAGGTACAAAACTTTTTAATTTTTAATTTTAATTGTTCACTGGAATCAGATTGTTTTAAAAAAAAATCGTCCTAGATTGTTTCACTAGCTTGCATCTCAATTTTATTTTTCCCAAATTCTGGGCATACTCTTGTAGTTAATAGTGTTCTCCTGGAAGCATATTTGTAAAATTTTCTAATTTCATTAGTGGGTTCCAGGTTTTACAGCAGCACGCATACTCCTGGCCCACATTCCTCCTTGGTTGTGCTGTTCTGTCTTGTTAAGGATTTACATCCTCTGGCAGTTTATCTTTCAATCTGTACTTGTTGGTAAATTGCTAACCACATTTTCATCCTTACTTTTAAAGCAATAAATTATTTTTAGAGAGCTAATAACAGACAAACTATACTTCAGCCGGAAAGAGGCATGCTACTTAAAGATGTTGGACTATTTTATCTAGTCTGAGGTATGCACAACTTTAGCTTTGCAGCCCTTAGAGAAATATTTAATAAGGCCAAACCAGGAAATGTAGGTAAGACATTGGTTACAAATAAAGTCATTTAGTGTATTGGTGGGAGTCTTGAGCAGCACTTCCCTTTATATCTGTGTGGGTGACATTTTCCAGTGATTGGTGAATTACAACCTTTTACTTCTCATTAGAATACAAAGATTTAGTTAGTATGGCTTTCGGAGCTTCAAACCTATGAAAA